TCAGGTGTCAGATTTCATTTCATGGATTTCGACCAAACAAAAAAAATGAAATATTGGAACGATCATTGATTTGTAAACAGTTTAATAAATTACCACAATGAAAATGTGAATACAAATCGGTTTAGTCTAGTAAAACCAAAAATAAAAAAAAATTCCTTTTTTGCAAGTACGCGTGGTATTCTAATTGAGTGAAAAAATACCAAATCTCTGAATAAATTAAAGAAAATACGTACAAGTATATTCTTCACCATATAAAAGGTAAGTACTTCGCCTACAAAAATAAACGACAATTTTGGAAAATAGCGATTTAAACAAAGCAAAATTAGTTTCCGTTTAGCTAGTTATGCTTGACATAGCAATGCACCAACTTCTTCACCCATCTAAATACACGTTTTTTAAAGATCACATTATTAGTAAACCTTTTTTTAGCTATCTAGATTGATTCTAAAATGGTGGATATAATTTTTAATAAATCATCGATATACGGATATACGGTATAAAGATACTTTTCAACAAGTTGCAGTAATCAAAGCCCGGGAAATTCCTTCAGATGGTGGCAAATCTTTATATTTAAAAATATCTTCGAATGAGTGCTACGTAAGTGATATTAATCCGACCGAAGGGGCTAAATTTAATATATTGACTTTATGTGGAAAACGTCAACTAGAGGTTCGAAATTCTTTATATTAGGGGATATGAAGTTAAGACTAAGATATAGAACAGTTCCATTCTAATTTAGCGCTAAATCATGTAATTTTTAAGAAAACTTGTTCACTTAGTTTCCTTAAAATATGACCAACTTGAGCGCTTTAAAGTCAGGAAAAAGGAAATCATTACATGGGGTGCTTTTGGGGGCAGGAAAAGGACATTAATTTGAAAACTTCTCAGGCAATTCGTTTTTCAAGGAATTTTTTATATGTACAACTAACTGAAATATTGACCCGATTCAACCCACTTTTGAAATACTGGCATACTGCTGTCAGAAAAGGATTATCTCTGAAATTCAATTATATATCTCACGAATTGACCGATATTTGCAGTAAAAAGTCAAGTATAGGCACTATGATCCAAGTATTCGGTGCCAAGGGCTTGAATAGTTTTAGTTGTATTTAGACAATTTTTGGTCTGAGAAGGCATGCTTTAAACGCATTATTCATGTAAAGTTTGAATTCGTTAGATTAATTCCTTCTTGATTTGTACATTAGAAAGCAAAATAATCAAATGGAATTTAAAATTGTGTTATATGGAAAATAGGCTTGGTTGTAGTCCGATTGTGAACATTCGTTCCTAAACAAGAACTAGTGGAGACCATTTGAATGATGCTATAGTCAGAAATTCATTATATCGATTGTACTTCATATTAATTAAAAAAAAATTTAGTTTCCTTAACAATTAGTGTGTTTTTTTAAGTTGAGCATTATGATATCTCGATTGCAGGGTCAGACGAGCGAACTGACAAACAGATCTCCTAAATACATATATATATAATATATATATATATAATTTATAGATCGATAAGAAAAAGACCACTAGGCAAATAAAATAAATCACTAATAAGTAAGTATTATTGGTATAAGTTTGATAATTTCTGACTAGTTAAACTTTAAGCAGCAATTTCTAGTTACACCTGCGCAACATTTTGCGGAGAGTATAATAGTTTGGTTCGCCTAGAGGTTGCATTTGGGTGTGGTCCCGTCTTATATGTATACATGTATATATAACTCACAAACTACTGAAACCATATCAATCAAACTTACTGAACATGTTTCCCTATATAACGATAGAAAATTGTGTATATGCCGGATTTGGTCAATCGAAATTGCTCTCAATCGCAAAAGAGTCCTTGTCGGAACATAACGGTAAATTTTCCGACTAATCATATAAACTATCGATAAATAGCACTAAAAGTGGTGTCAACACGTTGGAAGATAATCGTTGTAACATACGTCTCTGAATAGCTACTATTGAATTTTGGCCAAAAAAAAATTTTTTAACGATACCATGAAATTATGTATATACTATAGAAAATTAATTAAAAATAGACATTTGAAGTCTACTTATCATAGTGTAATTTAAATTATCGATTTTGTATTTGGTATAATAAAAGATATCGTATCAGTTACTCAGCGAAATTTATACTTTGGCAACCATGTTAAAAGTGAATCTGCTTTATCTACACAGTTGAACCGTCCAGTTGACAAATGCAAATTTCACATTTGCATTCTTTGTGTTTTTGGGTGGTACAATAAAACTAACATTTAGAGATTCTATCCACCAAGACACTAAATAAAGTAGTTAATTTCGTAAATTTAAAACATTGTTGCTAATAATCTAACTCCAAATCGTAAAATATGGCCGACGGACAGAACATGATTGATGCTCAAAAACAATTCGCTGATGTGGACATAAATAACGGCAGTGCCTCTGGTGCAGAAGATGACGAGGAGGAAGAGGTTCCAGCGCCCGGTACTGTCGACAACGATTTATTTGCCATAACACCAACTAGTGAAATTCATGTAAGATTATTTTTACTTTTTTAGTATTCGGAAACTTCTACATCCTTTACACCGGCACAAACAATATTTTTCCACAATTGTTTGCTGACTCACAGAAAATGATGGGCGGTGTCTCAAATATAAACCACTTTCCCTATGCATTAAATTGTTATCACATCAATTTGAGATATAGGCTTAAATGTCAAACCCTACTTAGTTTCATAAAATATCTATATAGTATGTAGTACACAATACTTGCCGGCATGGGCATCTTTTGTAGTATTCTATAATTACAATTTAAACATTGTTGTTGTAGTTTGACCAGCAGAAATAGTTAATTGTTTGCATTGTGAAAGACGTAAATTAAGTATTCTTATCAGAAAAAATATATGCATATGAATTTTCATTGAGGGCAATGAATTCATTGATTAACGCAGAAATTTACGTAATTAAGTATTAAAAGGAATTATAATAATGAATACGAAATGAGGTTTATATTCAAATAATAATTTTATATTTATAGCGCCGTATATCATCAAGTAATCTCGAAGATGTGCTTACCGACAATGGCGACTATTTCATAGAGGTAACAGTGGCAGAGCCACAAAAAGTAGGAGATGGCATAGGCTCATATCTTACTTATAAGTGAGTATCGGGGAGATATATAATATATAATAATTTCTTTATATATACAAATATTCATTTTTCGAAGGGTAACAACGAAAACAAACATTCCGAAATTCAAACGCTCTGAATTCAGTACAATGAGAAGATTTAGTGACTTTTTAGGAATACACGACGTATTGTCAGGAAAGTATACAAGACTTGGTAGAATTATCCCACCGGCACCATCAAAAAATATTATAGGTAAACCATTACAATCATACCTAATCAAATCAAAAACCTTGCAATAATAACTAAACAATAACTGCAAAATTATAAACTAAAAAAATGTATTTCTATCTTTAAATATCATTTGTATTCAATAATGAGGCGGTAAATATTATTAACAGCAAACAGAAACTTCAGATGCTTAATACTTTTGTTTTAGGTAGTACCAAAGTGAAAATGAGTCCACAACAAACAGAGCCCGGGGCACCGCGAAATGCCGAGTGGGTTGAAACGCGAAGAGCTGCTTTGCAACGATATGTGAATCGCACAGCTCAGCATCCGGTGTTACGAGTAGATCTCGACTTTATAAATTTTTTGGAAAGTGATCAAGTAAATAATTTGTATAGGATTACTCAATGTTAGTTAATATTTAATACACATATATTCAAAGGAACTCCCTCGCGCGGTTAATACAGCAACTCTCAGCGGAGCTGGAGTAATGCGCCTTTTTAATAAAGTCGGGGAAACCGTAAATAAAATTACCTATAAAATGGATGAAAGTGATCCCGTAAGTATACGAATTACATATACATTTAAGTAAAGTAATCAATTGGTGTTCTATACGTACATATGTTTTTTTATAGTGGTTTGATGAGAAAATTACCGAAGTTGAAAATTTGGATGCGAACCTACAAAAGTTGCATTCAGCATTGAAATCTCTAGTTAACACACGTAAAGAGCTATCTGCGCTGACCGGACTTGTTGCAAAATCGGCGGCCATGCTTAGTACATGTGAGGAGCACACCGGTTTGTCCCGTGCACTTTCTAACTTAGCTGACGTAGAAGAGAAAATCGAATTGTTACGTTCAGAGCAGGCCAACTCAGACTTTTTCATAATGGCAGAATTCGTAAAAGATTACATCGATCTATTTAGCGCTGTTAAATCGGTATTTCATGAGCGCGTCAAAGTTTTTCAAAACTGGCAACATGCACAACTACAATTGTCGAAGCGACGAGAAAATCGAGGGCGTTATGAACTCGCTAATCGCACTGACAAACTAGAACAAGCGCAACAAGAAGTCGAAGAGGTTTTAAATAATATATATATATATATATATTTTACTGATTAAATTCTCAATTACAGTGGCAAACAAAGGTTCAACGCTGTCAACAACAGTTTGATGATATATCAACCGAAATTAAAAAAGAAATGGAACGGTTTGAGTTAAACAGAATACGTGAATTCAAAATAAACACGATGAAATATATTGAGGACCAAATGGCGCATCAACAACAGGTGAAGATAAATAATTTAAATAAATAAATGTAATATATATATATTTTTTTTTTGTTTTTGTTTTTCAGATTATTTCTTATTGGGAGACTTTTATACCCTCTGCCAGAGAAATTGTTTAAAAAACTGTTTACGCTCTCATAAATCAATCAACTGCAGAGTCCTTTTGTGAAACGCCTTTTATATATGTATGAAAAGTAATAACTAATGAATAATTCGTATCCAAGCAAGAAATTTGTGCTGAAATGCCGTTATAAATGTTTTATATATAGCATATAAAACTAAAGGGCAAAAATTCTCTGTATCTACGTTCCACAAAGTATTTTTTATTAAATATTATTTTTATGATTTTTGTAAGTATTCCACAAAAAGAAAATTTGTTAAAAACATTTAATACATGTATAGGATTATTGATTGAGCATGAGCTCAGTTAGCTAATAAAAAATATTTAATATATAATATATGGGCATGATAAAAATGTTAGATCTATTTCACATATACACTTATGTATATCTCAAGAATATTTTGAAAATTTATAAATGAATATATAAAATTACGTAAATGGAATAAATAAAATTGTAAATAAGAATGCAATTTAAACGAAATTTATTTATACATTAAACTTTAAGTTTGTGTATGAGGCAGGTTTAAAAATAGAAACAGAAATGCAAATATACAATTCTCCGTAAAAATTAACGTCACCTTATATTAGAGTTTGAGAAACCCATTTAGGTTGTGCGTTTTTATTATGTGCGATCAATTCCTGAGACCTGAGGTCTTATAGACGTCATCAGAGGAAATGTACAGAAAAAAGCAGATATTTGTTGCTTTTTTGGGGGCTAACAACAATTTAAATGATCGGTGAGAGTTTACCCGAACAAGGATTAGTTTTTAGCCGATCTAACCCCGATGGAGTCATGTGTAGAAGTTGACGCAAGTGAGGAAAGCTCTCTGATCGCCATTCACTGGGGAGTGGCCAGAAAAGATTCTTTTGACCAAGTTTCCTCTGGGTAGCCTAAGAACATCTGTTTGAAGGCGAGCTAAAGTGAGAAGGCGAAATATCCCCTTCATAGGGTTGTGCGCTGGGGGACCCGCCACGTAAAAAAAACTCCCTGAATGAAAAATTTTCCACAGCCTCGGATGAGAGACCCCATGACGACCATGGCAAACGAATTAAGGACTATGATTTGAGGGCATGCACCTGGAATGTCCGGTCCCTTAATTGGGGAGGTGCCGCTTCCCAGCTGGTTGATGTCCTCGTGAAAATAAAGGCTGACATCACCGCCGTCCAAGAAATGCGATGGACGGGACAGGGACAGAGACGAGTAGGTCGTTGTGGCAATTACTGCAGTGGCCATATAAAGGAGGACAGAGACTCCGCCGCCGAGTACTATCATTCACTCCGGTGAATGATCGTCTAGCCACAATCCACATCAAAGAGAGGTTCTTCAACATATCGCTGATTTGCGCCCACGCCCCAACAGAAGAAAAGGATGATGTGACCAAAGATGTCTTTTATGAGTGCTTGGAACGCACTTATGAGAGCTGCCACCGCCACGATGTCAAAATCGTGCTTGGCGACTTTAACGCCAGGGTGGACAAAGAAGGTATCTTTGGCACTACGGTCGGTAAATTCAGCCTCCACGAGGAAACATCCTCATATGTGTTGAGCCTGATCGACTTCGCCGGGGCCCGAAATATGGTTATCTGTAGTACTAGATTCCAGCATAAGAAGATACATGAATCTACCTAGCTGTCTCTGGATCGAAAAACCACCAACCAGATCGTTCACGTTGTGATAGACGGAAGACACGTCTCCAGTGTTTCAGATGTGCAGCCAAGATTCGCACCCGCCTCTGTGCAGCAAAAAACGCACGCCATCAAACACAAGGAAGGTTCGACGTCGAGAACGACGGCTTGCACTCCTGCTCTCTGAGAGCATTCGTCAACAACTCGGCATAAGGGAACTGTGGGACGCGATTTCAAACACCTTACGTACAGCTGCAACCGAAACCATTGGTTTTCGGAAATGGCAAAAGAACAGCTGGTACGACGAGGAGTGCCGTGTCGAGGCGGAGAGAAAACAGGCTGCCTACCTCGCAACGTTACGATCGACCACAACACGTGCGGGATGGGATAGATACTGAGAGTTGAAGAGGGAAGCGAGACGCATTTACAGACAGAAAAAGAAAGATGTCGAAATGCGAAGAACTTGATAAGCTGGCCAATAGGGGTAATGCTCGCAAATTCTACGAGAAAAGGCGGCTTACAGAAGGTTTCCCCCAACCCCCAACCCCCCCAAAGATTATCAAGTCACCGATGCCCAGAGCATACMTAAATTGTGGAGGAAACACTTCTCCCGATTCCCCAATCGATGATGATAGAGCAGACGTTCCATTGCCCGAATAGCAATTACCCGCCTGAAGAACAACAAAGCGGCAGGGGGCCGATGGATTGCCGGCCGAGCTATTCAAACACGGCGGCGAAGAACTGATAAGGAGCATGTATCAGCTTCTTTGTAAAATATGGTCGGACGAAAGCATGCTCAACGATAGGAATTTAAGTGTGCTATGCACAATCCTCAAAAAAGAAGACCCCATAATCTGCGCCAACTACCGTGCGATAAGCCTCCTCAATATCGCATATAAGGTTCTATCGATCGTATTGTGTGAAGGATTAAAGCCCACCGTCAAAAAACTGATTGTACCTTATCAGTGTGGCTTCAGAACTGGAAAATCAACAATCGACCAGATATTCACCATGCGCCAAATCTTGGAAAAGACCCGTGAAAGCAATCGACACTCACCACCTCTTCGTCCACTTCAAAGCTGCTTTCGACAGCACAAAAAGGAGCTGCCCTTATGCCGCGATATCTGAAATTGGTATCCCTGCAAAACTTATACGGCTGTGTAAACTGACGTGGAGAAACACCAAAAGCTCCGTCAGAATCGGGAAGGACCTCTCCGAGCCGTTCGATACCAAACGAGGTTTCAGACAAGGCGTCTCCCTATCGTGCAATTTCTTCAACCTGCCTCTGGGCAGTTCGAGCTGCAGAACTAAATAGAGAAGGTACCATCTTCTATAAGAGTGTACAGCTGCTGGCGTATTCCGATGATATTGATATCATCGGCCTCAACACCCGCGCCGTAAGTTCTGCTTTCTCCAGACTGGACAAGGAAGCAACACAAATGGGTCTGGCAGTGAACGAGAGCAAGACGAAATATCTATTGTCATCAAACAAACAGTCGTCGCACTAGTGACTTGGCACTCACGTCACTGTTGACAGTCATAGCTTTGAAGTTGTAGATAATTTCGTCTATCTTGGAGTCAACGTAAACACCACCAACAATGTCAGCCTAGAAATCCAACGCAGGATAACTCTTGCCAACAGGTGCTACTTCGGACTGAGTAGGCAATTGAGAAGCAAAGTCCTCTCTCGACAAACAAAAACCAAACTCTATAAGTCACTCATAATTCCCGTCCTGCTATATGGTGCAGAGGCTTGGATGATGGAGAAAAGTTCTGCGAAAGATTTAAGACCTCCACTCCGTTGGAAGCACCAGGTGGAGAAGGACCTGGCTACGCTTGGAATATCCAATTGGCGCCACGTAGCGAAAATAAGAAATAACTGGCGCGCTATTGTTAACTCGGATATAAATCGCGTAAGCGGTGTCTACGCCAATTAAGAAGAAGAACCCAAATACAACTGGTACAAATTAAGATTTCTTTTAAGGTTTCACAGAAATTGTGTGAGTTATGTTGTTAGTCAAAATAAGTAAGGCAAGGTAAGGTAAATAATAAAAAACTTAAATACAAATTTCCATATAAAATGTTACATTAACAAACCTTATTGAATATGTTTCTTTGGTAGCAATTCTATCATAGCTGCATTAAAGTCCGAAAATGTAACAACTTTCTCATCCATGCTGAATAATAAAATGCTTCTGCATTTTAGTTTCGTTCTAATCCTCTTGAACTTCTTAGTTTGATTCTATTTCATTGATGTAAATATAGCAATATAGCATATGATGTAAATGTGCACATTAAACTTATTGGAATAGTTTGCTTTTAATTGATATTTTTACAATTAATATTGATATATTAAAAAACTGAAACAAATTTGATTTGTTACACTAAATTCACAAAAACCCGCGCAACTTGTCAAAACACGAATAAAAAAGGCAGACAAAAGAAAACAGAGATCAAAACAAAATCCGTAAACTAAACTCAAACTTATATGTATATATATAATATACCTTCTCTGCACACTAAAGACACTTATATAAATAAACATTTACCGATATTGCGTAATAATTTTACTTTAGTTAACCTTATTATAAAATATTCATTTAACTATTTGAATTATAAATGTATTATTGTTTCATTCTTAAATTCTAGTGGCAACCATTGACTGTATGTAAACATATGTTTCTGACAGTTCTTTATTTATTAATTGATTTCTATAGAAGATTTCCAGTTGGTTAGGAATTAAAAAAGTCATGGCGAGTATAAAACTGTCCAATGGACTACAACTTTTAAGTCGTAATTCGACCAGTCGTGCTCTTAGTTCTTCAGTAGTCAATTCATGGCGCAACTACAGCAACTCACGCGGTGATTTAGAAACTACCACTCACACTGGACAGGTACGTCAAACCATCTGCCTATTACGCAAACATTGTACACATTTTACTCTTAATAAAATAATGCATTTTTATAATTAGGTTTTTGACAAAGATGATTATCGCAATGTTCGGTTTGTTAATGCCAAACGCTATGTTAATGAAAATTGGGGTATTAAATTGATCGATGAAATACCTCCAATTGAAGTTACAGATCGTGTTGTTTATTGTGATGGTGGTGATGCAAACTTGGGTCATCCTAAAATTTACATAAATTTGGTAAGCGGATATAAGTATATTTTATGTATGCTTTTGTTGCATTAAGATAATTTTGATGGATTTGGCTAATTTTTTTTGTTATTTTTTCCAGGATAAACCCGGACCACAAATCTGCGGCTATTGTGGCCTTAGATTCGTAAAGAAAGATGGACATCACCACTAAACTATTGTTATTGGAAAAAGATGCACTAGAAAATAATATACATACGAGTACGTGAGATAATTGTTAATTTGAATTATCTCGGGAATAAATAAAAAAAAAAAAAAAAAATCAATGCATTTTGATTTAGACGTGAAAATATTCGTCTAGTATCGATTACTGATTTATTGTAATATGTATTATGAGAGCAATAATAAATAGTTTTATTTTTTATAGGAAACCTCTCCGTATTAAATCAATGGTAAGGGCGCAGTAAACTTGCGTGTGAATATTTTTCTAGAAATAATGTATCTTTTAGCAAATTTACCTTATAAAAGACGTCGGGTTGTTAAATGCCAAAGTTCAAGTTATTATTTTTTTTTTCTTGGAATTAAAAAAATGTTTTCAATAAATTCTTTTAAAAATGCTCTGAAATGTAAGAGATTTGTAAATTTTCGTTTGATTCGTATGCGCAGTGATCTAAAGGAAATAACACACACAGGACAAGTAATAAAATGAATATATTTTTATATGTAACTATTTACATATGTGTGTATATGGACACCACCTATACAGATTTGGACAGAGGATGACTACCGCAATGTACGCTTTATGAACGCTAAACGTTGGGTCAACAAAAACTGGGGCGTTAAATTGGCTCATCAAATCGAAACTATAATAACTCCTAAACGTGTAGTATATTGTGATGGCGATGGTCCACTCGGTCATCCAAGGGTCTACATATGTTTGGTAATTTAAATGCTTATAAACATAAAATAACAAAGTTTTGTTGTATGTAATTTTTCTAGGATAAACCTACTAAACATTGGTGTCATTATTGTTTGAAATCTTTTGTAAAAACTGAACATGCGGCCGCGGTCCTTGGGAAGACGCCTAAGAAGTGAATACAAAAATTTATCTTGTAACGAAATTAACCCTTTTTACAACCTATCTATTTGTCTGATTAATTTATAAGTACTACTAATACAAGAACTTTATATATTCTTATTATACATACATATTTTTATATTTAGAGGAAATGAATCCCGCAAATAAAAAATATATATACATATATAAAACAATTTGAATTGCACATGTAAGTAGGTAATATATATTTCAAGTGGTTTTAAGTAAATACAAATAGCTGTATGTTAAATTATATTTGCAACGATATTAATGTACGTATGTAGAATAATCAAAGATGGTTTACAAATTATCAAATCAGATATGACATACAAATTAAAAAAAAAAAAAAAACAATCCTTAACTTAGTTAATTTACTTGGTACGTAGCATTTATGCATATCCACATACACATTAAAAAGCTTAAACTTCCAAAACAAATATTTATATATTGACAAAGCATAAATGTATTATGTATACGTTAAAAAATATATTTTTTTTTTTTGAATTTTGAGAAAGTTTTTAAAACTATATTTTACAGAGTTAACAATAAGATTACTACAAAATAATATCAAAGTCTTTATGGTTGCCAATAGGTATTTTCATATGAAAAACAAACGTTTATAGCTAAATGATACAGGCGCTAATGCGCATTTGAGAATGAATATTAACTTAGATGAAGGATATATAATATATATGTATATTAGCATAAGTATATATGTATAATTGATGTATTATTTAAACATCTTTCTTTGTTCTTGCACTTTAGATGGATTTCATTGAAACTCAGTACTGCAGTATCCCAATATTCACATTCTTACAAACCTCATTGCGAACGTATATGATAAAAGTAATTATTGAGATCTCATCGCGTTCAAATTTCTTCAATTGAAAGCAGCCACACTTAGAAAAATCCATACCACGAAGTAATTCGTGCGAAACTAAAGAATCAAAGAAAAAAATACTTTTGTGTAATATTCATCGCTGTCAACCGCTGTAGCTAAATGAACCGTCATTTAACATATTCTGAGCCAATTTACTACATTCGCATATTTTTTTTTTTAATTAAAATATAACCGAACTCTTACGACACTGTCGTTCAATGTAGCTAAGCATTTGCGCGACTCTTTCGTTGATGTATATATGTTAAACGTAAATCGTTTCAACAAATAAACAATACTCCTTTTCTCATCCTCACGCTGATGCCAGCGTTCATCAAACAATTCTAGTGAATTCATATAATTGCAGGTCAATTGTTTGATCCAGAGATATACGTCTCCGAAATAAAGTTCTGTTTACGCTCCATGAAGATGCTCGTAATCAAATTAAAATATTAAGATATACGAAATAAATTCCATGAAAACAGTACAGAACCAGTATAGAATTGTACACTTATTGAGATTATAGACAATAGAATGTGTTGCATCAAAAAGTGAACATCCTATGTAAATCGTTTATACAATTCCAATTTACATCAAAAGATGAACAAATAATAATGCCAAATTCACCTGTGTACGTTTACCATACTGTTTCTGTATTTGTTTCGGTTATACGTGTGGATGCTGCGGTCATCCGTGTTGTTGCTGTTATTATTGCTGCCGCTGCTGCTCTTGCAATGCTATCTGCTATCTGTAGCCTCAATTGAATTTCATCTAAAACACCAAACACTTAAGGATCTAGTTACTAATACATAGTATATCTGAATTTGAATATAGACGGGTAATAAGTTGCCAACAAGGATTCGGCCAATAAGCACCACTGGTCACCAGAGGTTCCTTGGTACGGCGTAACCTTCTTTTGTTACGTAAATATTGCGATCCGAAAAATCTTCGGACTTGGAGATGTCACCTTCCTTTTGCTTAATGACACCGGAACCACCAGCGTTATCGTATGTGGTAATTGTTTCTGATTTTCCATCAATGGTGCGTGTTATAGTTGTTGTTGTATTACCTTGGGAGTCCTTGGTAACCTTCGTAGTCTCATAACTACCATCCGGTTTACGTATAGTTTTAGACATTACGCTCTGACTGAACATTTTCGGACCCTATAGCAGCATAAAAAATATTTCTTTATGTAAGAGTGTATACAAATATTATATATATATATAAAATACACCCAAATAAAAACGTATTAAGCGGACAATAGTTGTAATATCTTTGAGAGACGATCCAACTTTCAAAATTAAAAATTATTAATTCATAGCATCGTAGAATCTAATAATCTAGTTTATAAATGACTTATTTGAACCAACAAATGTTTACGTACACCTAACGAGTGCCATACCTGATAAGTTCCTTCAAAAACTCCTCCACCAAATGGGGCTGGTCCACGTGGTATCATGGGAGTCATTGGTGTCATCATATCTGGACGAGTGCGCGGCATACGTGGCTGCTTCGGAGCGTCATCACTGTCTAGGGTACCGTGTATTTTACCCAAAATTTTCTCCTCGTCGCTTAATTTTTGCTTACGTAAAGGATTACGGATAGCCTTGTTGTCGTTGCGTGGTAAAATGTTAGGCAAATCCTCATTGGGTGATAAGCGTTGCATTAAGGAATGCAACTGGTCAGCATAAATTCTAAAATAATTATATTTTTTAAATTCCATTGCATCAGTTTTATACTTTGTTAGAGTGATTCGCTTACTCGCCATCTAGATCAGTGTCCATGATTTCTGCTTTCTTCTTTTCAAACTCTTTTAAAATATCAATATTTTCAAAGCCCGGCTTTAGAAAGTCCTCCTTCAAATCCTTGTCAATTTTAACATCACCATCTATGTTCGTATGTCGAGAATTTTGAATAAACAAAACAAACATTTATTTATAAGATAATCACATTTTAATCATATAGTTACCTTCAAATTCACTAACTGCCTCCAAAATTTGCTGCATTTGTCTTTCGAAGTGCTTCTGCAGCTCTACAGGATTAGTGAATATTTGAAATGCAAACTTTCGGTTATCATCAAACAGCTCGTCGTCTGTTTCCGCTTCCTCGAACCACTGTGGTTTCCGAAACTCGTCTTTTGCCGTTGCACTATCGAACAGAAAAAATGCTTGAAATAAAATTTTCTCAAATATAATAAACTAATTTAAATGTTTTAGTGTACAATTTTTTTATAATGTTGGTCCTTACTGACGAATAAAAATACACGCTGGCAACACTCAAAGGATATATTGCAATATGCGCAGCCTCCGAATATTGGCCTGGCCAAAGTATCTACCCAAGTATGTAATTTGCACATTATCGATCGCAAGACTTTTCATTTTAATAATATAGAAAAATTACTGTAGATTGCAATAACTCACTCATAAGCTCTTATATACATATGTTTGTTTGATGGTAATTTCACTTACTCTTCCTTATGATCGGTTCCGTTCAAGCCTGATGACTCCTTTTCGTTCATTTTGAACATTTTACGCAAGATATCCATTTTTTGCACTTCTCAAGCACCGCTACAACGACCAACACAGTAAAATTGAATCCGAATATCCCGTCACACGACGACCACACAATCAGAATAATGTTCAAATAACAATAGCAAGAATGTTTATCACAATACTATTTCGACACCGAATAGCGTCCAAACGCTGATTTTGTTAAATGATAATGAATTATATATTTTTTTGTTTTGCTTGATGTTGCAACTAATCTTCAAAGCCTTGATTGCATTGATAGGAAAAGAATTTGCTCGAAATTTTCTCTATGCCTTCACTTTTTATCTTTTTCAACCTTTGCCTACCGTTCCGTTCTCTGACTTACGTTTTGAAGATGTATTCGCCTCCTTTTTGTGAAAACTGACAGCCGCTTATCTGCCGTTGTGTGAATAAAAATGGGTAATGTTTTGGGAAAATATACAGCTGATATTGTTTTGGGAAATTATTATGCGCTTTCTGCAACTGCCACCGTCATAGTAACGCAAAATTAGGTTCAACTGTTAATTTTGACCGCTTTCCAAATATTAAAATTTCAAGCAAACATATGCATATGTGCGTCGATAACGCAGGGTATATTGAAACAAAATTTTTTGTCATCTATAAAAAAATATATAAAACAACAATCGAAATCAGTGTTTCCCAGCATAAATGATTAACATGCTGGTAAATGTTTTATCTAACAAATTAATATATGAGAGCATGTCCATATTCGTATGTATTAAAAGTTAAAATCCTTAAATATTAATACCAAATTGAAAAATACAGAAAATCGTGTTGCTTTTATTCACTTTTATATATTTTTTGGACAAACAACATATAGTACAGGTAGAACGGCATACCAACATTCTAAATTGATAATATTTAAGCACAAAAATACGTTTTTGCTAATCTGAAGTATAGTAAAATGAAGATATAATTTATACCTTTTTATAGTCTTGTTTTTGTACGTATGTCCATAAACTACATTTTGAATAAAATGCTCAATAATAAATTTTGGAAAAAGAAATTTATATATAAACTTACAAATGATATGTACTTAAGTATATGTATGTATTTTAATACATATAAATAAACATTATTATGAGATAGGCAGTATTGTGAAACATTTCATCAATTCATTGAATAACTTATAACTACGTACATACTTAACAAAAACAAATCTCTGGTAATTTGTCCAATTCAATTAATTACAATAGTATATAGTTAAAATAAATATTTTTAATGTTTTGATTGTGCAATGTATTTGGCCTCATTTATCTTTGGTATTCATTCTAGTACTTGTTTACCAAATTTTTACGAGATCGACGAAATTTTCTTAAGCCCTTATATAACAGTAAGTATCAATGAAAGAGTTGTTGTGATTATTTGTTCCTCTTATCTAGTTAATATGATATATGAATGCTTATATTCTAGTCAATTATGTATTGTACGTCAAGCAACATTTTGAATATTTGCTAAATTTTCAACATTTGCAACATTTTCTTTGTTTTGCTCCTTTTGCTCCTTGAGTTTGGCCTGTGTTAATTTCCACATTTTATTTTCATCGGCGCATTTGGTGGTAATAACAGTACGCACCTCCTTTTCGTTTACTTTACTCCGTCTACTAACTGCAAATATGATGTCTTGTACTTTTAAAGGGTTTAACCTTTTCTTGAGTGGTTTATTATGATCTTTAAAAGCTGGAGAGGGTTTTCCAGTCATTGAGTGAGTGGCTAAGGTAAAACGATCGAAAACTCCTATCATGAGTTTTCTTGTGGCCATCGATGCATTTTCCCAATTAATACTATCGTAAATTTTAGTCGGTACCCGGGTATTGTTTGGCCCAATCGATATATAAGAATTCTTTTTAAATTCGGAATTTGCTAAAGTGCTAAATTCCTGAACATCGTTTGTGATTTCACTTAGTTGCTGTTGCTGCTGTTGTAGAATCGGTAAATTGGAGTGGTTATCTTCCGCTACTATTAACTGATGTTGTCGAGATATTTCACAATTTCCTGTGAATTGTGAATGATCTGATACCACTGGTTTGAATTCTGCTAGATCGCCATTGTTTCTATCGGTGTTTTGAACAATATTCTTTTTAGACACTTTTCGTTTCCTTTTTCCGGAGGCTTTCTGAACAGGAATTGGTTGATTCTGTTCCGCATCCTTATCGATTTTAATATAATTAACATTTACTGGCGTTTGAGGCTGTTCCTCAGCCAAGCATATTTCTAAACGGTCGGAATCAGCAGAACCATTTAAGTTTAAGCCATTTTCTTCTTCGGCAATTTCTATCTCTATGGGCCCATCTTGACCGTTGACACCGCCATCAGCTATTATTGTGTAATTCACCTTACGTGGTCGATCTTGTATAGTATCAATCTGCAATTCCTGAGGTTGAATAGATACATCCATATTTTGCGACATATACTGAGTTTGCATAATAGTCTGCTGCTCTGAAGAATGCTGCACCGGTTGGTGTTGTGAAGATGTATGGGTTTGTGACAATTCCTCACAATGTACATTCCTTGGACTCACATGAGTATTATATATCTGAAATTTTGTTTCTGTATATTGTTCATCCTGTTGATTTTGTACATCTTGGGGATGGTTTTCATGTATTTGGACAGGTATTTGATCTACGATTACTTCTTGTAACCGTTGTCTCGGGCTTCTAGCTTTTTTTGGATTCGAGTTTCTCCTACGTCCACCTGCTGGTTGTTGCGAAAGCATTTCTGACTGAGTACGAAGTTTTGACTCAAGATCCCGTATTTTTTCTAATAATTCTTTCTCTCTTTGCTTTTGCTCCTCTATATTTATATAGTCATCTCTAATGCCGAGATCCGCATTTGACGTCTGTGTCCATGTATTGAGCATCATCGGGCGTTCACAAAAATATCGCATTTGGCTCGATCCGCCTGTACTTGAATATATTATTTCTGCCTGATGATGGTGTGTGTTATGGATAACGTGTTGGTTAACCAATGGAATATTCTATTAACATTTCATCATTTTAATAAATTTAATTCCATATATGCGCTTGATGTTAACTTACCATTGAATTACGCTCCATTTTGTCAGTTGTACGAAGATTCGCTGTTTAAAATTTAAAATTTAACACTATGATGTGTGTGAACTAGTAGATCGTACAGAGATGAATGGCCTTTTCCCTGAAGTTGCTTGCTGTTATATATTCAATGGACTCTGCGTATGCTAAAATAAGGGTAGGAAAATGAATTCCGCTAATGCAGCCGATAACATGCCTGGACTCTTTATTGTAAACTCAGATATCCCATAAAATTTTTCCTTCAACGTTAAGAGCTGTAAAAACCCATATAGTATATGAGAATAAAAATCTGCTTTGAAAGAGCCTTTTATGGCGTATACGTGCATATATACAGGTAGTTGGAAAATTAGATAGCGCATACCTCTGCTAATCCACTATGGTCTGTTATTGTTCACACTCAATGCTACCTCGCAATGGTTATTTACTTAAAGCAAAGCCTGAATGCAGATGGTTTCTGTACTGTATCCTATATATGTAAGTATGTACATATGTATGTAGCGTACTCCTATTTGTCTGCGAAGTCAACCTTCGTTTACATTCTACTTTGAATAAATAGTACCGCCTTTTCAGCACAGAAATACGCAGGTAGATCATACATTAATGAAAAAATCTACTTGGAGCCAAAACAGTTTCAGAATTTTCACTCAAATCGTATTACTGTTTTAAAGCGCGAAATATCGCCCGTTTCAAGTAATTTTTGTTATTTGAATGAAAGTACAAAAAAAAACATGTAATAAATGTAGGAAGTATACAGAAATTCAAAATTAATATTTTCTATGTTGCCAGATTAAATAAATTTTTAATATTATTACACTCCAAAAAGTTATATTTTTTAAAGTGTTTCCTATTCTTCTGCATGCAAAGTAGGGAATTGGGAATTAGGAATTTGAAAAGTTTTATATAATTCTCAAAATTACTAAAATGGTCTAATAACAGAAAAACCACCCCTAACGTTAGTTCCACGCGTCTTTTTCTAGTTGGCGCGCTTTTCAGTATAATTTGGCTTCTTTGCTCTCTCAAACTAACAGAAGAGTGCATAAAAAAAAATATACATATGCTTATGTATAAATGTATTTATATACTTATATGTAAATATATACATATATATCTAAACCAGCCTGCAATAAGACCAGCTTGTACAGTTGCAAGCCGGCTAAATTGTACAAAGTGTACGTAGGTATGTTCATATGTTCCTAAGGCTACCTATCTAATTAGATATGTATGTACATATATATTATACAAGTTT